GAGCGGCTTGCTCATTCCTTCAGCCAGCTCGCTCGCCGCAATTAAACTGCAGCGAGGGTCGGTCCACCGACATGTAAAGGATGATGCCAGCCACCCGGCGGAAAACCTCCGCTCTCTCCTGGTCCAGCTCTCTGTCAACAAACCTGTTCCCAGCCTCTGTGGCCTTTGAAGACGGCGTGTCTACGCCCTTGCAACCCTTGAGGTTCAGCTCCTCCACAACCTGTTCAGGTACTTCGGGTCCGCTTCCCAAGTGAACCCAGAGCCTGTCCACGTGATCACACGACCAAGGTGCCTACCTGTCCCTCCATGGTTCGGGTCCCCGATGCGAGGCAACACTTTCACTTCGTAGTTCTTCATGATGATCTCATCTAGGCGATCCAGCTCAGTCGCCTCACCACTTGCCAAGAAGTCATCTCCGTGGCACGAGAGCGCCACGTCACCGGCACCAAAGTAGTAGGTGTTGGGGCATAGGAGTAGCTCATCATACCCATTGCTTTTCTTCACCTTCCTGATCTTCTCACCCCATTGGCGGGATGCCTCCCGCGTTCCATTCATCGCCTTGCGCAACTCCCACATGATATCAGGAGTGCCTTCCGAAGTCGGCGGAATCACGCCGATTCTTTCGCTGTTCTCAGCGTGGAAAAATGCCACGCTCACATCGTACCGCGCCACCAGCTTCTTGCTCACCTTCTGTCCTGGCTTCGCGGTCGCTGCGTGCGACATCACCGCACGGTGCACCCTCAAAGGGGGAGTGCCCATTGACACATCCTCCCGCTTGTAGGTGTTCACCTCCTGACTGAGCCACAAGCCGGCTCCTCACGCCGGGCTTGCCGTTGATCTCCTTGGCGGTGTCCACCCACCGCGACTTCACCAGCCTAAGGCCCTTGCTCCTGGCCTCCTGGTAGCTGATGTCACTTTTCACCTGCAAGGTCTCCATCTGTCCCTTCTCCTTCACTCTTCCTCATCTAGAAGCTCTCCTGTCCTTTCGTCGTAGGTCGCGGCCAGGACGGTGGTCAAAAGGTCGGGCTCCACACGCCACTCGTGAAGAATGGGCAGGCCCGCGATCGTCATCTCCTTGCGGTGCGAGCCGTCGGCCTCTCGCTTCCTGCTAGGAGACCTTGGGCTCGAAGGGGGAACTTCCGAGGCTTCCATCCGAGCGGCCGGCTGCCATCCAGGCCCGTGATCCTTCTTGGGAGGTCGCTGGGACGAGAACGTTCTCTCCCACTGCCGAGGAGCCTTCACCGGCATCCATCGGGACACAAGATCCGTAAATCTTGCTCTGGGCTGTGCCTTCCCGGCGCTTCTCCGTAAGGAACGTCGCAGCCCTTGGTCCGGCCGTACTTGATCAGCCGCTCGGCCGTGATACACACGCCTTTTGCCTTGGGCACGTTGCCCTCCAATCGCCCCTGAGGAAGGGGTCTTCCGGGCGCCAATGGCTCACCTGCCTCCCTGCGCCCCTGGACCCACAACCAACCACGTGCCTTGCCTGCTAGCCTCGACATAGAGATAACACAAAACTTCACATCACTCTCTCTGTAGCTAAAGTTCACCTGCGTGCTGCCATGCTGAAGTTGCGAGGTCCTACGGGGCCCTAGGTCAAGAGCTTCTCCCGTTACGGTCTTCATGTCTGCTCCTCCGGCTGCCTTGGCTTGGGGGTCAAAACCTCTGGGGGCTATACCTCCACCTGCGCCTGTGTCAACCAGCAACCTTTCCCTAGTCCCCGCACAAACCGGAACCCCACACAAAGGAACTGCAACACACAACGTCGAAGCTGCTGCAGTACCGACTCACCCTCTGGCTCGGTACTCTCAGGCACGGCTGCTGCGGTCCTACCTTTTCCGGTGCCCTCTGCCTTCTTCAGGTCGGCAAGCCTCTTTCGGCACACGTCCTTTGTATGCCCGAACTTTTGGCAGTAGTAGCAGAGACGCTGGCCTTTACCAGCACCGCCTCCACCCTGGTGGCCTTTTCCTTTGTCCTTCCCTTTGTCTTTCCTTTGCATTTTTCCTTTGTCCTTTCCCTTGTCTTTTCCTTTGTCTTTTCCTTTACCCTTCGGGACTCCACCGATCTCCAGGTCCTGCGGAGTGCTCCTCAGATACTGCTGTGTCCTGGCTATCTCCAGGATCTCTCCAGAGCATCTTTCCCCATGTGTCCAGCCTGCTCGCGTGCCGGACCAGGTGCTCCTTCACCGCAGCATCCGCCATACCAAGGATGACAATGCCGATGATGGTGTCATCCTCCACCTCCTTGCCACTCTGCTTCTCGTACTCCCTTACCTTACTCTCGAAGGCCTCCACACAGGACACGAGGTCGCCTTCAAAGCGGTACCGAAGAATCTCCAAGAGCAGGCCCACATAGCGCGACGACAGCTTGGGGTTATATTCCATATAAAGTTGGCGGAGGGCTTCTAGGCCTCTAGGCCTTCCGCTTGCCCCAGCATTGTGCAACTTGTCAAGCGCACGGTCGCGACAAAGCATCACAAGTAAAAAGTATAGTTGCGTGCAAAGGCCTTTCTCCGTTGCATCCAGCGTTCTATTCCACAGCCCGGTGGCTGAAATTTCCGCACGCTGCAGAAGGGCTTGGTACCTTTGATCCATAGCAGAGAGGTACGACCGGAGGATGAAGATCCAGTCGTTGAAGGCTGCTGGATCTCCTTTAAAGAGATCTGGTTTTCCTAGGCCTCTAGTGTCGACTAGAGGAAGCAAGGAGAAAGGAGAGGTAGAAGCCGGAGCCGCCGGAGCCGTCGAAGAAGCCGCCTATTGAGCGGCAACCGCCTGCTGGGCGGCATTTGCCTGGATCTGCTGAGTTTGCTGGCCCAGCTGCGCCTGCAGTGCCTGGGTCAGCTCAGCAGACTGCTGGAGCTGCCCCCGAAGCTCCTGGACCACGGCCTCCATCGCCGAAGCCTAGGGGACGATGCCCAGGATCCTCCGGCTCTTCCTCCTCGTCGTCTGCGTCGTCCTCTTTATAAAGAGGCTCCTGCTTTGCTTTCCGCTTCTTCTCTTTCTTCTCCTTCTTCACTTTCTTTTCCTTCCTGGCTGCTTGAGCTGCCTCTTGATGGCCCGACTGGCCGCCTGCAGCACGTGAGGCTTCTGAGCCTTCTGCCGCTCGTCACAGGTCGAGCAGGGATCCTGGAAGGGCTTCAGGATATGCTCGCCGACCGACCCAGGGGGCAACAGACCGCTCTCCCTGAGTTCCCTCTGGGCCGCCACTCTCTCCCTGAAGGAAAGAGAAGCCCACTGCTCCTTGAACTGCTCCACTCTTGGAGTGATCCTCAGCCGGTGCCTCCTCGTAGGCTTTGGCTTGGCAGCCGCTGTCCTCCTCACCAGCTCCTCGGAGTCTTTCTCAAAGCCCTGCTCGGCTCTCTTCAGCAGTGCTTTGTTCGATCGTCTTCCTCTCCTCTGGCTCTTGTTCGGCCTCTTCTTTGCCTTTGCCACAAGCTGCTGGTCCGGCTCACCAGCAGGGCGGTCCTTCTCCTCCTTCCGGGCCGACTGGCCCTTCGATCGGCCTTTCTTGGCCTTGCCCTTGCCGGGCTTTCCTTTGCCACCCTTGTGGCCTCCTTTCCAGGACCGCTTTCGATCCTTTTGCCGTCTTTACCGACGGCGGCCGGGAGCGCGAACGCTTCTCCGGCCCGTGGGGGAGCGCCGGAGCGCGGCGCGTCCGCCCACCGAGGGGAGCACCGAAGCGCTTCCTCCTCTGAGCTGGCCCAGCTCCGCTACCATGCAAAAGCAGGCGCGGGCAAGAAGGGCCTTATGATTATATCCTGAACCACCACACACAAACCCACTGTTTTGAATTGCGGGCTCTCACTGGTGATCTGGAAAGGGGCTGCAACATACAGTCACAGCATGCATCACGAATAGGCTTTATCCGTTGACAATTCTTGTTGTTTTTGCTTCAAAATTGGTTTCATTAGTATTGCTATTTTTCTTCAGACTCAGATGCCCAATGTAAAGCCGTCAACCCGGAGAAGCTATATTCCCCAAATCATAAACGTCGCACACTTCAAACGAAACCCCTATGTCCACTTGCCGTTCAAATTGCACCCAGGAAGGTACAAACACTCGTCGCGGATCCTTGAAACGACCCCAAACCATCTTAAGCACTTAATCTTAGCCTTAAACCTATACACCCCCAACCTTGGGTTCCCATGCTTAATGAAACATATGACAACTACATCACACTACATCCGAACCCTATACGCTACACAACACGGCTTTAACCATTAGCCCTGAAAGCCGCACCCGCAAGCCCTAACACCCTAATCGGCTTCGGAATCCTGCATCCTGGTGGGTTGCACCGTGCACCAAGCAACCCTAAACTCTGGTCTGAAACCTTGCACCCTGGAAAACTGAATCCGGCTCCGGAAACTGCAGAAGCACGAAGACCTCAAAACCCCAAACCCTGCGAGAGACCCCTGCAGAGCGCAGCACCAAACACTGCAAAGGTTGTCGAGGACAGTCAGAAGGACTCGGCCGACCTGACTCTGAAAAAGATGTTCACAGTAAGAAGCTTTGCAGAACTGTTAAGTATGGAATCCCCATCTGGACCTCTTCTATCTACACATCTATACACACACATACATATATATATATATATATATGTGTATATGAAAATGTATATGTATATGTATATGTATATGTATATATATATATATATATATATATATGGTCACGCGCTCCGCAGCCCCCCCCCCCTCCCCCCCAAAGGTCAATGGTCCGGATATAGGGTGGGGGCCCCCCTTTCCCCTGTGGTGTGGGTTGCGGGGTTCCTCTTCCCCCTGTGGGGTGGTTGTGGGGTTTTGGGGTTTAGGGTTTAGCTTAAGCTTTTGAGTTTTGGGTTTACGGTTACAAGGTAAAAGGCTTCGAGTCGACAAGGGCTTGGGGAGGATTTGCGGTGTATGCTCTGCTTTAGGCTTAGAGCCTGCAGTTAGGTGGGGTTTAGGGTTGGGTGTAGCGTTTTAAGCACAAGTTAAAGTTGCTCAAAACAGGTGCACGCGCTGCGTTATAGGGTTTACGGCTTGCTTGCGAAGGGCTTGCACGTGAGCCCTGGCCGCCAGCCCCCAACCCTTTCCGCACACACCAGCCCCCCCCCCCTCCACCCCTATCCGACCATACTATGGGGGGAGGGGGGGGGGGGGGCTGGGAACGCCAGACCATATCCATATCCATATATATATATATATATATATATATATATATACTTTTATGTTCCAGGGGCTGCGCCCATGGGCGGGCAGCGCAGGGAGAAGCCTGCCCCCAAAGCGACAACTGTCACGAAGATACTGGCCCTGCGATCAACAAAGCAATAATCATTACCAGGCACGCGGGCAGAAGACACCCGACGGCCAACCAAAGGAACATTAGATGTTTGAGTTAATGATGATGATAGTGATCATCGCCCACATCATCATCATCATCATCACCATCATCATCATTATCATCAAGGATTGAGTATACCAACCACCCAAAGCAAACCAACAACGCAGGGGAGAACCACCGCAAGAAAACCCGAACCCACACCATGCCACGGAGTGAGGGGGGGCCGAAACGGGATCATATAAATAAATATATATATATATATATATATATATATATATATATATGCATGCATGTGCTAAGATACACATTCCACATATACATAAAAATTCACACATATATATATATATATATACATATATGTATATATATATATATATATATTCTATACATATGTATGTGGGTGTGCCGTGAGAGCCCTTTGGGCTGCCCTGCCGCAGAGAGGTTCAGACTCACCCAACCTGGCGATGCACTCCATACATCCCGTGGGAGCTTCAAGTCCCAAAAGTCACCCAGCTCACGGCCTGGTACGCCGTCAACGCCAAGCCTCCTGCGTGCACGATTTCGATCTGAAAGACTGTTGATATGGCCTGAAGCGACAAAAGTTCCCAGGCGGGCAGGAGTCCTGCAGAAGTCGTCTGCAAAGTGACAGCAATTTCGGGAAAGTACATCATAATCAGGTCCCGGATACTCCTGACAAGTTACCGAAGAGATGACACATGCAATGCATACACTCTTTCGGTCATGGTCCACCTCAAGCATCTGCGATACGATATCCGCGACGTCTTCCTCCACATGACAACATCAATGAGGCAGGTGGCGAATCGTAAGCAAGTGCCAATGCACAATCTGAATGTAAGTTGCTCTTGGCTCGTGACTGGGCTGAGACGCGTGAAGCCCAAGTGCACCTGCAGAGTTGCAGGGTCATTGAAGGAACGGACATCAGCCCAGAAGATCCATCGAAGCAGATGCTTAGGTTTCGGGCAGTTCGACTAAATCGATGACACGGATGTTGCAGAGGGTTGATGCATCGCACGGCAGGCGTAGTCCTGCAACAGAAGGGGGTTCCAATGTTTTGCAGCATCTGCAAGGCTGCTCAATCCTGTCGTCACCAGAACCAAAGTCCCATTCCAGATTGTTGACCTCGAGAGTGCGGCGCGCAACATGTTACACATCGCAGAAAGGCTTCTCAAAGACATCCCCAGCCTCAACACCAGCGTGGTATATGCCACCAACACATGGCGTTAGTGCCTCAAACGGACGCAAGAAACACTTTGCAGCACTGCCCCTGTTCCTTGGAGGCTGGCCTTGTTCAATCGCCTGATGCCTTTGTCCTGGCGCCCGAGACAGTAAGCATATCGAGACAACCCGCAACATCCCGCAAATGTGTGAAGACATGTCAGGAAGGCCCAGCTGCAATGATAAACATTCAGGAACACCGGAGTGAAGCCCTCGCAGACTGTTAGACACACCAATCGAGAAAGGACCTGTGTCGGTGCCCGCACGCGCAATGTGTCGCAAAGACGGCCTCCACCCCTCGTCGAGCTGCAGCAACTTTGCCAGGGTCTTTGAGACCTGCAGGGCAAGACTCTCGGACTTTTGCAGGCCAGGTGACAGGCGGAAGCGACCAAGCATAGGACACGCCATCAGCTGCTCGGCATGCTCCGGCTGGAATGCTTGTAGAGCTTTGTGAAATTCCTGTCACTCGGAGGTAACGCGGCATTGCTCTCCGTTATGATCCATTTCTTTCGATAGATCCGTCCTGGATCTTCAGCAGCCTGTGCATAGTGTCCCAACCGTGGTCCATCAAGACGTCGATGTATTGCGGGAGGCCTCCGTGCAGGCTGTAGGCAAACAGCTCGAACATTCAAGCGTGAGATGATCCGACGGCCTATCAGGTACATGAAGAGGCAAACCTGCAGTGTTGACTGCCGGGCCAGCTATAAAGCTCCGACTCCGAGGTGGGGTGCATGATCGCAAGAGCCAATGGATGCTGCGTGCCCGGGAGCGCGAATAAACTGCCACATCTAAGAATCTAGGACTCTAGGAGACACGCTCATAAGTTCATGGAACCTTTTTTAATTCCAATTCCGCGCAGCAGGCGACAACTTAAGAGACGAACTGGAGACACATGCACGCACATTACAGGAGGGAGGCGCGACGGAGATTGAGAGGAGCGAAGACGAAGGGTCACGCAACGACCGCCAACACAGGCCAGACTAAAGAGGTCAGCCTCGGACAGTTTCACTGATTAGAGCACGAGATTGCCACCCTATCTTTCACATGCTTTATCCCCTCGCCCGCAGGACCCCGCTGTTCGTGGATGCCAAGTGACGTCATAGGTTGGGCCAATGGGGAGAACGTCGTTGAACTTGACCTTCTGCTTCTCTGATGCCTCGAATGCCGCCTGCAGGGCCACCTGCACATCCAAGTGCGCCACGGTACACCATGCCAAGCCTGCCAAGCTCAAGCACGGCCTGCGCAAGCTGGCGGTCGGGCATCACGAGTCCCATCTGCACAAGGAGTGCTGTGGACTGCCTTTGCAGCAACATTGCCGCACACTGATGAACTGTCCTCTTCGTCAGGCTCATCGCTGCCTGAAGCAAAGTCCGATGTCATGCGCTTCACCGATTTGCACCTTTTTGTTCCGCTCACTTCTCAATTCCATGCCTTGCCTGCAGCGGGCCTCGCAGGATTCGCCACAGCACGGCGCCGGCACCTGAAGCATGAGGACCGTTATGAAAACCACCAAGTGGAACAGTGTAACGTGGTTCCGATGCAAGGCTTTTACAAAATCTTGCGAGGAAGAGCGGAGTGGCTGCCTCAACCAGCTTGGCCACCACACCATCGCACGTACACTGAAGCCCCCCTCAACGTTTAAAGTGATGCAGCCACCGTTTTGGCCGGCCGCAGGCTTTGCGCGAAAGATGCGAACTGTCGCATGGATGAATGTTCTTGAAGGTCTGTCACGTACCCTAAGCGCTTTAGATGCCAGTACGTTGGCCCCTGTCCACATCCCCTTTTCAGCCACGCCATGACATCATTGCAGAAGATGCGGCTCAAATGCAGGACCTCTTCATCAAAACGCTGCAGCATATTGTGTCATGTTGCTGCTGCATGGTTCTTTTACCCCGAAGCCACCGCTGTCTCCGGCATCTCCTTCTCTTTGGGGGACCTTGGAGTGCTAAGTGGGACCTCAAGCCTGGTGCCCCATAGAAGGACTATAGTGATTGTGGCATAGCTATGTGTAGTTGCTTCTGGTTTTTGAATTGCAGGACCGTCGGCTTTATTGAGAGTGCACCAAGTATCTGCAAGCTTGTTCTTGTTTTGACACTGCGCCTGCAAGCTCATGTAGATCTCATCAGCCCGCGCCTGCAGCTGCATATCGATTCATCTTCTTCGAGGCAAGCCGGCATCTGCTCAGGGTGTCAAGCTGGCTACCACTCATTCCGACTCATTCCGAAACCCATCACTCCGCAAGTAACTACCAGACTCACATGCAAAAACACCGACAGCAATGGTTTACATAGGATGATTTAGGTCGCCAGCCAACACTGAAATGCGGTCAGCTTTCATGTCTCTCTCGGTGCTGTGTGCGCACACGTGTCTGCTGTACCATGGCCGGAGAACACGCGCAAAAATACTTGTGCATTTAATTGGATGTGCTTCGCCTTTGCCTTGCCTGAGAGAAGAATATGACAAGCAGTCAAACAGCGCGAATGCCCTGAACACATCCGACAAACTCGGCAACAACACGCGTGCCCTGCTGAAACTCCATACGCTAGGAGCCGCTAGGCCAGGCTTGATTTCACAGCTGGATGGCCTCGAGTCCCCTTGGAGCCCCGGCGCCAGCAGCAGCTGCTGCTGGCTGAACGGCAAACCAGAAGCTTGGCCTTGACTAGCGAAGCAGCGAGGGATCCAAGGCCAGAATGAAACCTCATTATGTGGTCTAACGTAACATAATAGTACGACAAGTGATATCTATGTATATCTATATTTATTGTATTCCAACACAATTGTAACAATAACACTACTAATACTGCTGGGGGAGGTTCGGCGAAGGGCGGGGGGGTTCGGCGAACTTCGTGTGAGGGTCGTATCTCCCTCCGTTTCGGGTTACCCCCCCCTCTCCCCCAGTTTGCCCTGAGTTGTGGGTCCCTTTGGATCCCAAGTCTTCGACGTATTTTCTTACCGGGCGCACCTGTGAAGACCCAAGCGCACTTGATAAAATCAAGCACACTTGGTAAAATCAAGCGCAGATCGATTTCGCCATAAAACCAAGCGTAGAATATCGATGTCTTTGCCCGTCATATTATGGGCGTGCGGAGTCCGCATCGGCGCGATCCTTTGTAAATTCCAAGCCCAGCAAGTGGCTTTTCGTTGCAACAACGAGGATCCCTTTGCGGGGATCGTGCATTTGGGCTTGATGAGCATCTTGGAAGTGGCGCAGCGGGTGTGATACTGCAACGATTTTGCGGTGTGCGGAGTGACAAGTGCGCAGTAGTTGCAGGACCGAGACAATTCTCTCTCTCTCTCTCTCTCTCTCTCTCTCTTTCTCTTTCTCTCTCTCTTCCGGGCGTGGGGGTCGTGGCAACGTCCAGGCCACTTCCCCCGTGCGCACACCCGCGGTTTCACGGGATGTCCATTGCCCCCCCCCCACAGTTTCGCAGAAAGGGGCTCGGGATTAGAGAAGACCGGTATTTGTTTCCCCCCAAGTTTCCGCTCCGATTGAGACAATTCAATTCTCTTTCTTTCGCCAGGGCTATATTGTCTCTCTCTCTCTCTCTCTCTCTCTCGGATGTGCCCTGACAGGATTTTGTCGAGGCTCGGGCTGGCTGTCTCAGCTCGCACGGAGTCCGGAGCGAAGGGAAGTCAGAAGTGTGGGTTGCATTCTGCCCGCGTGTCGGACGCCATGGCCTTGGCGACTCGGGAAGCCCTGACAGTTGGAAGAAATCTTTTGGGATTCATCAAGGGAATTATATGATTGGATTTGTTTATACCGAGACCAAACCAATCTAGACTGAGAAGAAGACGAAGCCGTGGCCCTCTGAAGAGCTGAATTCTGCCAGCTGCAGGCTTGCGTGGAGGATTCTTTGCCCACTGATCGGGCTAGCGGTGCCTCGAAACGAATCAGAAGGCAGCTCGAGTTTCAAGCATGCAGACATACTCACGCAGTTCTCAGCCACGACGCTGAACTGTTCGCCCACGGCGGCCACAACAGCTGTGCGTGGACTGTCTGCATCGTTGCAGCTCCACTTGCTTCACTTGCCTTCATTCTACGCGGAGCCTACTCCAGCCACTACACCACCTCAATCTGAGTCGCAACGCTGCCTCATGACCTGACGATCGCTCGCAGGAAACGTATGTCTGGCGGTTTCCTTGGCAGACTCTTCAATTTTAATTGCCATGCAAATTCGCCACACAATCTCAAGCTGTGGACTGTGGACTCTTATTTCAGAGCGAGATAGACGGATCCACCCACCCACTTGAACGACATGCAGACATACCTGACCTGACACCCACCCCGCATCCTCAGCTATTCCTTTCCCGCTTCCCGTAACAGCAAGGCGGGGCGCTTCACTCATCGCCCTCCTCGTCGTCCTCCAACCATACGGCGGCGGTCGATAGCCGCAAAGAGACCCAGCCTGCGGGCAAGCTCCCAATCGTCACC